CAGTCTGAACCTGGTATAGAGGTTGCTTCAGGATATTTGGATACAAAGTCAATTGGAACATAAGCACACCTGTGTGAGGGGAATCAAAGGGAATATGCAATATTTTGGATGATCTTGATATGTCACTGGGCGTCTCATCACGTTGAGTAAGTTGCTAGCTAGCTAGGTATACAATCAAACACTTAACGGTTGAATTTGTGACAAATTATTATGCAGTATATTGATTTGAAATTGTCTTTTTGAAGAACAGCTTGAACAAATGAGATAAAATCTGAGTGTATTTTAGAGATGTGCGTAAGTGTGTTTTGACTGCTCTATGGCTCGCTGTCAGTCATTGAGATAAGAGATAAGATAGGACTTTATTGATCCCATTTGGGACATTTTTGGGAAATGTTTGTGTTTGCAGCAGCATAAAAAGGCATTGCATTGTACATTAAAAAGGCCTTTGGTGACCAATGAGGTATAAGGAAAACACAGACACTCATCACCGAGGTCACTATACCAATCGATCCAGCAGAGTAGCCTATAGGCAAAACACAGAAGATCAACAAAAGATACGACATCAAATGAACTTACCAAAGCTGAAGTAGATGGTCAACTTCATTAGTTTTCTTTCAGTTTCACTGATTTTAATCGCTATACCAGTGGCGTAGCTGTGGGCCCCACCCACATGCACGTCTGGCCCACCCACAGCCAATCAGCGCGTCATAGCGATGTTGACGTTCCTGACAAGCCCAGAAGGAAGTGCCACGAACTGCAGTTCCTCTAGTGGCCGACAGGGGATGGATGCAGAAAGGAGCCATTCCCATAGACCCCCATGTTAAAATGCCCAACTTTACAGCAGAAATAAACATGTTTCTAGCCTGGATCCAATCAAACGTATTCTGGATATAGTTAGATTCCACCTTCATGACAATGGAATAGGGAGTGCATTTTTTTACCGTGAGTAAATTAGTAAGTAAAGTAAGTTTTGCCGTGAGGTCTGCAGTGAAGCGTGTACACATTTGCTGAACATGAAAAGACTCAGTGTGTGCCCACTGTGCGACTGTCAAGGATAAACAACCTGTGGCCGCCGTGCCTATGTTTGTGTTTTCACTGCTAGTTTAGGCTTATGCTTATGTTTAATTAGTGCATTAAAAAATCAATAAAATCAATAATGAAGTTTCAGCTCATACCCCATGCTTAATAAGTCTCCCCCTGGCCCACCCACACAATAATTCCTGGCTACGCCACTGCGCTATACGCTGCTCTCTCTCGTCTCCTCTTCACAAACAACTACTATTTTCGCGGCACACGTACTTACAGCCAATCAGCTCTCTGAATTATGAGATGATGTTTGGTGAGGTTGTCAGCACTTTGCCCCTATGGTGATTATTTTTTTGCCGCACACATTGAATAGAAAATACTCTGAGCATGCGCAGTGTAGTTTTTACAGCACCCATTCACTTTGACAGTGAGAGGGAGGGGCTAGATCGGGGCTTGACCCACGTCGCTCGAAACGGCTCAATAGGCACACTGTAGAGTAGACAAACTTATTAGAAGAACACAGACTAAAACAGCAATGTACACACGAATCAGATGATTAAACTTTATCTTAAAATATATTTTAAGATGTATTTTTTTTGCATTTGTTTGGAATTATTATTTGAATTACTTTCTGCTGACACTAGGTGGAGCTGTGCCCCACCTGCCCCTAATGACCAGTGGCATCTGGCTGTTTTACATTTGTAACAGAGCCTTAGAAGCTGTCTCTCTCTTCTTCAGGTCTTTATGCAACGCTACGCTAACCATATCTTAAATCGAGCTCCGCACTTACAATACCCTGTTTACTGAGGAACTATTGCTTTGGTAGAAAGTATTAATCAATACTTCATAATTAAAGTTTGCCCTTCTCAATGCAGTGAGTAAATTATCCCTAGTACCACCATTGTACATTGTTGGTAGTACATAGATACCGATAGAGGTAGAGGCAATATATTTGTAATTAGACCAAACCAAGTTCTACGTCTCTAAATGTAGGCCTACTCATTAGGAGTTCCTCTGGGTGCAGTGATGTGTGTTATAACACGGCTATGTTTTTTGGACCATGCATACATTTTGTGTATTTGTATGAATGTGTTTTCATGTTGTCTTTTGTTGGTTTGGTTCAAAAGGGTTGAAAAATGTCCAAGAGTATTCCATACAGAATCCTTTTCTCCAACAAATCAATAAAGCCCAGATTGCCATGTGGGGATGCTCTGCCTTTTATGTTGAATATCAGCCGCAGCACATCCAACAAGCCTTTATCTAGTGAGCGGTTTATACATGACAGTGGAGGAAACCTCTGGGGTGTGCTCCTCTTTGCAAACAGCTACCTCCACTGGAAGAAAAGACGAGTGTGTGTCCTGCTCCGAATCACACATTCATCATTCAAAGAGAACATTGCAACTCCTTCAGCCATCCCTCAGCGTGGCAGCTCCTCATTCTCATAACTTCTCATTCATCCTGCAGGAAATGGATGTCCCGCCTCAGATGAGAATTTGGAAACAGTGGGGGGGGAAAAACTGATGACACAGGGCAGAAAACTAGTGCTGCACTGGCCTCTACAGGTTCAACACAGGTTATTGCACTCACATGGCAAACATTTGATCCTGTGATTGAACCTGTAGAGGCCACTGCAAAGCTGGATCCTGTGAGTGAGGCTGAGATGCTGCAACTATAGTGAACGCAGACTCAGACACAAAGAAAACAAGCATATGACCTTTATTCATTTCAAGTATTCAGGTGCCTTTAGAGTAAGATCATGTCACTGACAGTGGGAATGATCAGTTCTTACAAGTTTACTGACAATAATATTTAGGAATATTCAGGGAATTGGTCAACACACTATTAAAGGTGGGGTAGGTAAGTTTGAGAAACCAGCTCGAGTGCGCTAGAATTAGAAAATACACAGCCGGAGAAAATCTGCCACTTTCTTACAGAGCCCCTCCTCCAACACACACGAACGCGCACATGACCAATGAGGGCACGAGATAAGTTTGTGCCCAGATGGAAGGCTGACAGGCAGGTAGGCCATCCAGTTACTTTAGCCGGGCCGGCTCAGATGATTGGTCGTGCTTTTTACAGCGCCACGGCTTCCAGAGATGATATTTTTTTATGGATTTATTGTCCAAGCATTGAATGTATTCATTGCTATCGGGATGTTAAGAGCATTCCATGGAATATAACAACAAATGTATCTCGAGCCGGTTTCTCAAACTTACCTACCCCACCTTTAAATGCTCCTATTATGTTCAATAAATCACGACAGAGATGTCAGCCTACTGTGATAAACTAATCCTTGTTGATGCTGGAGACCCACTGTGACCTTCCAGCTCAATCTTTTGTAACAAAACATTGATCTGTTGTCTTGTTTTGAAGCAGAGAGTTTGGGTCTACTGCCCGCCGTTATCAAGAGGGTGTGTGAGCGTCTCACCACTGATGCTGTTATCATCTGGAATACCAGTCAATGTGCTGAACCCCTTTCAAAACATCAGTCTATTTAAATAAGCATGAATGACTCTGGATGGCCACTTGGAGCAGCCCAGCGAAGCTATGTACAATTAAATATGTGAGTGTGTAGAGGATATTGAAGATGTGTTTGCCAACAGTTCTCTATTTACAGAGGTGTAAAGATAAACCTATGTTTGCCTTATCTAATATTCACTCTCCTGTGTTGGTGCAATCCCATTCTGTTTACTCCTCCCACTTATTGAAACTGATTGCCGTTTTGTAACCATTTAGTTATGAATGCCAACATTCAGGAGGATGACCCTAACCCAGGAACAGCAGCTCTTTACTGAGTAATGCATCCTCCTGTGTGTTATAACTGTGTTGTGCTACTAACATGACATCATTTTCAGAGGCCTTTCCGGTTCAGTATCTGTGGTCCCTCTCGTTCAGTGGCTAAATGTGTCAGCCAGCCAGTCTCTGTGTGCAGTTTGGTGCGGAGCAGGCAGAGTTTCTGTTAACCAGCTGCCTGCAGACAGCCCTGAGGGAGACACACACGTTGTGGGCCCTAAGAACAGCATGTGGGTAATAAGTATCTGTGTGTTGTGTCACTGGAAGCGATCCATTCACGCTGAAATATCAATTATTGTAACTTCTTCCACAAACTGCCACCATGAGGCTCAGTAGAAACACAAACTTACATACTGACATTAGATTTCAAGAACTTTTGGTGGGAATCCTGTGTATTTTTGGTAAATGGTGTTGGACAGGCTTTGGCTTATTTTATTTAGCTTATTTTAAAACAGTAAGATGTGTGAGTTATCCATAGTAACAGGACAGTGTGTCTGGAGTCATTGCTTCATTGTTTATGTAAATTACATTTATTTTCAATAATGTCAGCACCAAAAGTGAATTTGAATTTCTTCATGAGCAACAGAAATCTCAGAGACACCTCAGAACCAGGACCCGTGTGCGTGTGTGTGTGGTGTGTGTGTGTGTGTGTGTGTGTGTGTGTGTGTGTGTGTGTGTGTGTGTGTGTGTGTGTAGTGTGTGTGTGTGTGTTGTGTGTGTGTGTGTGTGTGTGTGTGTGTGTGTGTTTTTAAGAAACTTGGGCCAAATAAAACATTTTAAGGCCTTATTCCAAAATACAAATGTTTTATTAGCCTGTAAATAATATGTGTGGATCAATTGCATGTGTTTTGGATGTATTAAATTGCCTAATTGTTCACTTTCAAATACACCCTGATTACTCTATGCATATCGTTTTTTTGTTTTGTGTTAATCTCGTTGATTTTACCTGGAAACCTAACTGGTTTTCTGGGAATCCCAGCTCGGGGCAGCTGAAATGAGGGCATTCCTGTTAGACAACCTGGTGGAATTTGAATAGTACAGAGGAACCGCCTGACGCTGATTGGTCGAGAGCGACATGTTTCCAGCGCGCCATCCTGTCACTCAACAGATCCAAGGCAGCTCATTGGCTATTCCTGGCGAGGGCGGGACTTCTGTCTTGGGTATAAAGTGTATTCTGGTTTCAGGCCATCTGCGACTGATTGCTGCGTTCAGGGAGAGGCGGATCATTGTGTCCAATGCTTCTCCACAGAGCTCACTTGAACCTTTCTCCACCAGCAGAACGACTCCCTTTGAGATAGCCGAGCTTCGGGTTAGTTCTCCCGGTGAGGAGCTGGAGGTGGACTGGGGGAACATCATAATGATCAGCACCATGGAATGCGCAGCGGACGCGCAAAGCCTCATCTCCATTTCCTTAATGAAGATCCACAACTCCAGGACGCAGAGAGGGGGCATCAAGCTGCACAAAAACCTGCTGGTCTCCTACGTTCTGCGGAACGCCAGGCAGGTCTACATCAAGGAGAAATACGCGGAGATCTATCGCATGCAGCAGTACGAGGAGGTGATGACAGTCTGCAACGAGATCCAGGAGCTCAACCCTCTGGATCTGGACGCAGAGGACGCGGAGGATGAGGAGCAGGCAGCGGCGCACGCCCGGACATCAAGCGCTATTTTCGGCTGCTCTCCTCTCGATGACGGCAGCAAGGAACCGGATCCCTGCTACTACCGGAGCTGCTGCATGGAGCCTTCGCCCGTGCCACACTGTGACCAGTTCACCGCCAACAACAGCAGCAGCAGCAGCTCGCACTGCAACAAAACCACAGTGCTGGACTTGGACACGCATGTGGTGACCACGGTGGAGAACGGATACCTCCATCAGGACTGCTGCTGCTGCGACGCGCTCCAATGCGGACAGGGCGCGCGGTCTCCGGCGAGGAAACGGAAGGTGGAGTTCAGCTGCTGTGTCTCTGATGTGGAGGACGTTTCAGATTTTACAGCGGCGAGGAAACGGGCGAAACGCGAGGACTGCTGCTACTCCAACATAGACTACACAGATACTTCCAACATCTCCAACCTGATCTCCATCTTCGGCTCGGGGTTCTCGGGGCTGCTCAGCAGACAGTCGGACTTGGAGCAGATCTGTAGCAAACAGGTCCTGGCCAGCCTGGGGGCGTGGACACGAGCTATTGTGGCGTTTTAAACCCAAAACCTGTATATTAGGGGAGACCGGGGTCAGGTGTCAATGTTTTCCACTAAAGTGTTTTACTACAACCAGTGCTGTGAGCTATTGTTGGGGACCATCATGAGGAGAAGGCTCCCAAACAAAGTAACGTTCCCATATGGTTCTCTATAGAGGATTGTATATCATGTGAAAATGTAATGTGTGGAACTTTTCCGTAGTTACATTTTCAACAAATGTTGGTGTTTTTGTACATTACATTATGTAAACAGAAACCTTAGGGGAACGTTGCCAATCAACTCTTCTCAACCCCCTGTGTGTGCCAACAGTGAAAGGTGTGCTGCAGAATATGTATTTGTTGAAATCAGTGTTTTTACAGAATGTGTGCAATAATTGTGACATATAGAGTCGCAGGGAGGTAAGTTGTAATGCTGCAAAAAATGTCACTTTTCAGTTTAGCCATTTAACTGAGACTAGTTTGATAAGACGGGTTTATCCATCAACCACAGAAAGTGTCAAACATCACAACTGGCGTAAGTGTTACTTCAGAAGCATAGTATTTAAACACTAATGTTGAATATTTAGTCTCTTCCAGCATGCATTACAACCAGCCTCTCTGTGACATGCTAACACATGCTAACCTCCGTAGCTTTCACATACTTGTAACGAAGACAGTGATTCTAAATATACAGAAGTATCAGGAGTTATACCTCAAAGCACACCTTTGTCTTGAAAAATCAATAACATGTATGTGAGCGGTTCACTGGTGTGTCCTGGTGACTTCAGTTTGGAGCGTTACAAGGGTGCCCGGTCTCCCCTTTAAGGTCAACTTTATTTTTGCAGGAAAAAAGAAAAAGCTATTTAAAAAAATGGAGCATTTTAATGACAATAGTTGTGGCCCCAGCAGAGACTTTGGGCCACATCATGTCCAGGCTCTCCTGTTGTCAGAAAGGGACACACACATCTTCTGAAAACACTTTGTGACTGATCGAATGGATTGACTTCCTTTGCCTTAAATCAGATGCACACCACTGCTAGCTATTGTCATTAAATGAAAGAAGAGTGAGTGAATGTCTCTCCTGAGGATCCTTTAGGGAAATGGACCTTGCACATTGTGAGCAGTTTGTCATGTGAAACACTTTGTTCCCTCCGAAACACTTCACATCATATCACTCCACACTAACATACTGTAACACTTTCTGGGCTACTGGTGATCACCTCCACTCCCAAGCCTTCACAGCGATGCATAACTCCAACACGTCTTGGTTTTATGAGTTTTTACCTTTTTGTTTTGTAAAAATGAGTCCTTTTGTTTTAAAAAGGCAAACTCCTGATTTAGCCATAACCTGAGGATCCACGCATTAGCTTTATGAGAGCACTATGTGTACCAAAATAAAGAGAGTATTCAGCCATTCTCTACATATTTTGTTGTTATTGTATTTTTGTGCTTACTAAATTGTCTATCACCGGGTAAAACTGTTGCAGAAAGTATTTGTTAAAAATTTATAATCTTAATAAAAAATGAAAACCTTAATGGGTTGTGTTTTAATGCAGTTATATAGCTTATTACTAAATATTGATGTTCCTAAAGTGCAAGGCCAGTCACCTGATGAAAAACAAACCTATACGTTTGCAGAATAGACTTTATATTAAACCATCTGGTCACATAAAACGTTCCTTAGCGGTTATACTTTCTAGTTGGTAATGTCATTAATAAAAGGGGATAGGTCCCTTTCGTTCTTATAGGCCATATAAGTCCACACAAAGTTAGTAAGTGGAGGTTAAGTTAATTAATGGACAACGTAAACTATTTAATTAAATCAAATATGTAAGGTTTGTCACACTAATATATATATTCAGAATGAGAATCAGAGTTATTCGTCCCACAGAGGGGACATTTACAATTGCTACAGCAGAGAGCCAAAGATAGTTTCACCCAAGAAGCATGCATACAATATTATATTAAAGATTACAAAAAACGAGAAATTACACAATTTACAAAATACACATCCAGTACAAATATGAGTTTAGCAAAATAGCAGCCAGGTGGAAGTATAAAAGGTGGTAGAATAAGTTATTTACGGTATGTATATTGCACAAAGGTACTATTGCACAACAGGAGTGTTAAAGTCCTTGTTGTTATATATATCCTAAACCTCTTAAAAACCAGTGTTTAGCTGCCCCTCTCCCATAATGCACCCTGTCACTGAACCACTAGTACACGGTGAGTCCTGTTATCGCTGCTCTGTGCCACTTGGTGGTGTTCTTTATAATCAATGAATGAAGATATCAGTGAGGCTGTGTATGCAGAGCACAGCCACCTCAGGCTGACCCTCCCACAAACTTCATTCACCATGAACACACACACGCACACACGCACGCACACAAACACACACACTCTCCCTCTCTTTCATCCCCCTCCTCTTCCTGGCTGGCTCATTTCTCTCAGAGAGTGAGGCATCACTCCCGACACATCACAGACCATCACAGCCATCGCAGCTCTGCTCAGCTCCCATAATAACTTGCAGTCGGCAACGGAAGGAATGAGGCGGTGTGTGAATAATGCGTGGTGTAATCATGCACAATGGTGGATTCTATATTTGGTTATTTACCCAAAACATCTGAGATGAGATCAGAATTCCTGTACCATAGATGTATGCATGTTAACCGCTAAGTAGACATATAGACGGAAGACATCGACCACTATTGGACAAAAGGCAATACAAATCTGCTTAAAATATTAACACACGACGTGTTGGCAACATTTGATCTCAATATGACATATCAGAGGAAAAACAAGAAGCCCTCTCTCTGTTGCAAAGACGGTCGGGATAATGGTTTTGTTCCACGGTGTAAACACAGCTCCTCCATCTGGATTAGGAAAGACTCACACCCATGAACACTGGCACGCACACGCAGACGCACGCACGCACACACATTGATTTCCTCTATGTATCATTAACATAAGCCATTGTGTTTTGTCCCTTCATATTTGAGTTTGGTTTGATTCTGTTGACATTTATCATCAGAAAACCTTCATTAGTCCCAAATGTACATTGTTACAGCCTAAGTAAAAACATATACTGTATTAATAAAGAGGCATGCATTAGATATAGAAAGAAATGTAACACATTTAGAAGTGTACCAATCCAGTTGGACAACAATAAGTGTAGCAAGTAGTAATGTGATAGCAGTAGTGAAAGTATAGATTGCAGTTATTACAGATGGTGTTACAGTAGTTTAATAGCATAAGAGATAGCAGCCAGTAAAAACAATAATTAGAAAGCAGTATACATATATTGCACATAAGTGATATTGCACAACAGAGGGGTCTTTGTTGTGATATGTGCTGGGGTCTACCAGGGGCCATGCTGGTTGTAAAGTCTGACTGCAGGAAGAAAGGAGCTATGTAACAACAACACAACTCCGATTTTGTTTTTAAAGTACGACGTTAATAAGCGAACACAATGACAATATTTGTTACTGGACATTTGTATTTCCACATGTATATTTTCCTCATGTATATATATTTGATATATAGTCATTTTATTTCCAGGGTTTTTTGTATTTATTGATGTGGGAATGACAGGAGGGGGTGTAGTGTTGTTGTTTGAGGTTGCTTGGAGGAAGATTGGGGGGAAGGGGGCGGGGGCTAGATAGGGGGGGGGCCCTAGAGAGGGTGGGGGGTCTAGAGACGGGGGGGCCTAGAGAGGGTGGGGGGTCTAGAGAGGGGGGTTAGTGGGGGGGAAGGGAGTCATGCTTTGTCAGGAGAGAGAGGGTTGATGTGTTGGGGGTTTTGCAGGGGGGAGGCAAAAGTGACAGCAGCAGGGAGGGGCTGTGTGTGTGTGTGTGTGTGTGTGTGTGTGTGTGTGTGTGTGTGTGTGTGTGTGTGTGTGTGTGTGTGTGTGTGTGTGTGTGTGCATGCGTGCGTACGTGACTGTTGGGAATAGGTGTTCTGGGAGGGGGAGGCAGCAGATCGTACAGGTCAGTCAGGTTATACAGGGGTCTGTGGGGGGAGGGGGGTCGAGGGGTGGAGGGGGGGCCACAAGAATCTGATCTAGACCAGGTCCACTTTAAAAAAACCAGTTCCTTTTTTTTTGTTTTTTTCAAAGATTCAAAGGTTTTATCATCATATGCACAAAGCTACAGACATGGCAATGCAATTCTTCTGACCTCAGCTCCTCCAACAAAGCAACATATATAATAAAATCCAAAATAAAAAGTAGTGCAAAAAGTCTATATCTGTTTTCCATGTAAACTAGGCCAGTGTTACCATACTTTGATGAAAGACAGACTTTCATACTTTCCCTTTTTCTGGGGTCTAACTCGGGGGTCAAAGTGAAATTGATGGGTCGATAAAAGGATATCCCAACCAAAATGCTGCAATCAATTTCCATGAAAGGAATACACATTGTGAAAGGGTCACGTTATGAAACAAAAACACGTAGGTAGTAACCTGTCAATCAACATGTTGCCCCGCCTTAGAGAGCACTGGCTGCCTTATCCTCTATTTGACTTTAGACGGGATCATGATTTACCAAATGAACACCATGCTGTATTTGAGAGGACTTCAAACTAAGACCATAAAACGATTAGGAAAATATTAACCAAGGCTATAAATCAAGTGAGAGGAAGGGTCAGTTACAGACTTCCTACTGAAGGAATACAGGTTTCACTGAGGTTTGATTCTATGTATCTATATGGATCATCTCATGTAGACACGGGTTCCCATTCTCTATAGAGTATCAAGACACAACTTGACACAATGCATTGAAACAGACAAAGGCTTATAGTACTTTTTGTACATGAGTGTTGACACCTCTTCGTCCCACACTCATTCATACTATAAGTGAGCTGAGGGTCTTTTTCTTATAGACTTCCATACAACCTGCTTCTTTTTGTTAGAAATAATTCAGGTGTAAGGCACTTCCACATCAGGCTTCATTATTCAGACCCAGAGGTTGCTTGTTTTACAGCAGCTAAGCGCTATCTAATGGGCATCGGAGGTACTGCCAAACGATTGGATGAAATTGCAAATTATTTTTCAGGTAAATATTAGTATATTTTTGTCTCTACATGTCTCCATGTTTTAATGTTCAAAAAGCTCTTTATTTTTCTCATACTGCCTGTGCTGCAGCACCTCATTTCACCCTCTGTCTGAAACCAGAGCCCAGTCTGCTCTGATTGGTTAGCTGGCCGGCTCTGTTGTGATTGGTCAACCGCTTAGAGATGTCCCGCCCCTTCAAGACGACACCGTTCCATGCAGTTTACGATGGGAGACAAACTGGTAGAAAACACCAACATTGCTGATTACTTGCATATTAAATTAACATATGAAAACTGTCCAAGCCAACATTTGGATATTGAAATAGACAGACCACGCCCCATTTAAATATGAATTAGCATATTAGAACTAGGTTATGCTCTTATTTACATATCGGGGACTTATGCTTTATCTTATTTGCATATCATAAAAACTAATTAGGTCACAGAGGCTCTTGCATAAAACCAAATACTCCTAAGTATGAAGTATTTAATGGTGATTGTATTTAAAGTGGACCTATTATGCTATATTGAAAACATATATTGTAGGGCCATACCTATACAAAACATGTCTGTGAAGTTTTTTGCTTAAAATACCAAACAGATCACCCATTGTAGCCATGCCTCATACTGCTCCAACCCCTCTTTTGAAGCCCTGTTAGAGAAACGCGGATTTTGGGACCTTAGCTTAAAAAAAAGAAAAAGAGGAGGCGGAGCTAATGCCTGATCAGAATTCTACCGGAGATAAAGTTACATTCTGCTGTGATAAAACGCCATCCTGTTCTAAACCACATCAAAGATTATTTCTGAAACAGTATGAAGCTCAAATGCTTTTTCTCTTGCGGGTTTATCACAAGGGGAGTTCTTTTTTTATTTCCTGCTTTTTAAACACATGTGCTCTCCAGTACAGGTTAGCTCTGAGTGTTAGCGAGGCTTGCTAATGTAAACAAAGACGAGATTACGTCCAAAATACGTCAGGCATTGTTTCTGATAGCAAATCTCTGTGTGTCCACAATCCGAAAGTACGTCATATCAGCAGCAAATCTGTATCCGCTCGTTGTACTTTCCGTTTTTAGAGATTTGGGTACAGAGGAAAGAGAAAGGGTTTTATTTTCTGACGCTGCGTGAGTTCCCTGACACACCGGGGACACATAGTTATGTATGAAAGACATCACAAAGTGCATTTTGCATGATAGGTCCCCTTTAACTCTTCGATATCAAGTCTGCATCAAAATGTCCCTATGAGTGTTAACTACTTTTACTGCTCAGGTCACAGTTTGGTAGGTTTATCCGGTGGTTTCTCTACAAAGGGTCACATCTGGGAGCCGTTACATTATTCATTGTTTGACCTCCTGTCTTAAATATTAGAGATGTTGTGAGAAAAAACTCACTCTGGTTAAGCTGCAACAACACACATTGGCACCAAAGTGCTTCAGTGTATAATAATGCATTGTATTTAATACGCTAAATTCTTAGGAGTCTACAGTGGTC